AAAAAAAAAAAAAAAAAAAAAAAAGTTAATACAGCCGGGCCAGCAAGCGCCGTGTTCAGGGAAAGGTGTTCCAAGGCCACACCCCCTTTCCAGGGTTCATTGTCCACACTTGGTATGGTCTATATTTCATAAGTTAAAATTGTTTTAGTACATTCATTGTCTTAATGGTGTCATTTGAAGTACAAAAGTTTTGAATTTGATGAGGTCCGTTTGATGTTTTTTCTTTCACAGACTGTGCTTTTGGTGTCAGAAATCTTTGCCTGACCCATGGTCTCACATTTTTTCCTATACTTATTTTAGAAGTTTTAATGTTTTTGCGCTTCCATTTAAGGAAAGATGATCCATTTTAGGTAAGTTCTGTGCATGGTGTGTGGTATGGTGCTTGTGTGTAGAAAGCACCTGGTTATCCTTTCCCCCAGGGGATTGCCTTGGTACCTTCCATGAAAATCTGTTGGGCATAAGCAAAGGATTTATCTTAATATTCCCAGTTCTGTTCCATTGGTCTGTTTGTACTTATGCCAGTACTACACTCTCTTAATTGTAATTTTAGAGGACTATTGAAATACAGAAGTAAAAGTTGTCCTCTAACTTTGCTAGCAAAATAGTTTTGGTTGGTACAGTTCTTTGGCATTTCTGTGTACATTTTAGGATCTATTTGCATATTTCTGCAAAAAAAAATAATCACACATTCTTAAATATAGAAACTCCTTTTAAATAGCAACCTCATTTCACATATTTAATGAGCCCATAATAAATGTAGTGTGTAAAAAAAAATTCTGTCATAGCAATGATCCTGAATATAAGAAAAGTAATTTTCTAAACATTTATATAGTTGGGCTATATTAACAAAAATAGTCCTAGAAAATACTGTTGGAGAACTGACACACTTCTCATCCATGGCTGCCTGTTGCTACTTTTAGAAACTAAGCAAAATATTATGCCGTTTCCTAACATAAATGGTATTCTATGCAGAAAAAGAACTAGCAAACATCCAGAGGTAACCTTAAGCAACATCGTATGCAGTTTCTTTAAAAAATTTTTTATTTAAAATAGAAGTATTTTCTCTTGGTTATCCATTCATCCGTCTTCCCATCCTGTCTAGCTATCTGTTTGTTGTGGGAAACTTCGTTTTTGTGGTTTTTTAAAGTTTTTGGTACTTCAAGAAGATGCTTTATGGTTTCTGCAGAAAAACAAGTATTTTATATTTGATTAGACATTTAAATTCCCATGAAATCCAGTTTTTGCTTTTGTATGTTAACATAATGTGCCCCGACCCGCGGGACGAACGTGGAGTGTAGCCGGAGACGCCTGCAGAAATGAAACAAGCAAGGGACACAAAGAACGACCAGCAAGGCAGGGTGTCTGATCAAGCTGGCACAGTTTATTGTTTGCAGGCTTAATTTATACAGGTCAGCAAGGAAGGGGTGGGTCAAAAGACAATTGGACCTTAGGTGGCGCCGGTGGGAAGGTGTAGAGGGGTGATTGGGCCTTGGTTGGTGCCAGCGGGAGCAGAGGACCCGGAAGAGAAGCGGGGAGTATGCCATTTTGTGGGTGAGGGCCCTTTGGTCTCCGGCATCTCCTCCCTTGCTGTTTTTTAGGAGGGGTTGGAGCACTACTTAGGGTGCTTTGAGCCACTTATCTTCTGGGTAGACGGTGCCTGTCTTAGGTTTAGAGGTCTTATACCTGGCCTCTGTTTCCAGGAGCTTGCCTCCTTTTGGAGTCGGCCTGGTATATTGAGGGGAGCTTGCCCTAATACTGGATCGGCCTGTACATATAGGAGCTTGCCCCAGTATTTGATCGGCCCTTTTAACCAGAGGTCTTATGTCTGTCCTGTATCCTTGCAGGTATATCCTCTTAATTACCCGTCATTCACTACCTGTCTAGTTGCCCAGGAACATTGTCAAGGAGCAGGACGAGAAAACCTTGACGTGGCTCTTTTTTATTCCCAAGTTACTCCTGGCGCAAGGCTCTATGTAAGGATCTACACCCTGATCAGCTAATGCAAGGCGATGATAATGAACTTGGATGGGCTTTGCTATAAGAGAGTTGATTTGCTGTTTGATTAGCATTGTGAGTCTTTTAAAGGCCCAGGGGCCGAAGGAAAGTATTAGTATTAATCCCAGGAGCGGGCCTAATATGGGAAGAAGGTAGGGGAGGAGTCCATTTAGTCCTGTCCAGAGAGGGTTGTCACAGAGCTCTTTCTTCCTTTCGAGATCGTCTTGAAGAGTCTTTATCTTGTCTCGGACAATGCCTGACTTGTTAGCATAGAAACAGCACTTTTCCTGTAAAGTTAAACAGATACCTTCCTGTTCTGCTGTGAGGAGGTCTAAGCCTCTACGGTTTTGCAAAACTACTTCTGCTAGAGAGTCTATTTGGTCTTGGAGATCATTAATTGTTCCTGAGAGGGCTTGGATGTCATTGATTAGTTGATGGGACAACTTATGGAGGAATGTACGGCTATTCCTGCTCCTGCTGTTCCTGTGGCTACTGCGGTAGTAATCCCGAGGCCTACTAGGAGTGGGATAAGCTGGATGGCTCTTTTAGAGCGTGGATGCCCTGCTATATACTCAAGGCTGGGTATGAGGATAGGTTCTTCTCCTGGGATAATATCAATATCTGGGAGAATACTGGCTTGCACACATAACCCAGTCCAATTTGTGGGTAGGGCGGTGAAGGCCAGGTTTCCTCCACAGATAAAGACTTGCCCAATAGCGGGGCAAAGAGA